GCAAATCTGCTCCTTAAGCAGGAGTGCTTTAAAGTGTCATACGTCTTTTTTTCCAAGTGGCAAACGGCAACCTTTGAATTTCCGGCATATTGCTGCCCCTCTTAAGTAGACGCAGAAAGACCTGTCTTAAGACTTCTGATAAGCGATAGAACGGTGCAATAATGTTTTACGAAACTTAGATCCGAAAGTACGAAACTAAAAGATGCCCCTTGCAGTCAGCGACTCCTGAGCTTAACAGGGAATGCACGAGGACTTACCCTAGAAGGACCTGTTCGGAGTTAGCAGCAAAACTGGGCATTTCAAATGATGCCTTAAGGGCCAGCAAAGTTCGTTGGGACAAAGAGAGATAAGTATCAGACAAACAAGCGTCTCACGACTGAATTTGGCATCTTCGCTGCTACTGCAAAACTAAAACGAAGCCTTCCTTACACGGATGTTAAAGTGACCAAAGGCATATAGTGCACAATAGCAGATGGTCAGCATGCATGAACTTCGGCGATTCATAGTAGAAAATCATTGTTGCTAACTAGTGGCATACTGTTGAAATTAGTCACCTTCCACCACTTTTTCGGACCTGATACGAGAGCCTTAAATCGGGTCTACAAAATGAATTTGGAAATGGACCACCGGAAACTACCGGAAGCAGCAACCGATACTGGCCACTAGAAGAAGTCTTACTCTTCAATGTGACAAAGCAAAACCACAGGCTGCAATGAAGGCCTCGGAAAATGTTACCAGTTGGGTATAAAAGTCCATCCCATTTTCCAGACTCCTTCGGCTCGTTCGACAACTTCCTGTAGGAGAAATGCTTTTGAAAAAGGAATTATTTTGAAGATAGTCTTATCGGTTGATTGATTTCAAGGACCTATGGCATACATACGGCGTAAATGTACTCGCAACTGGATATCAGTGGACTTATATTATTCCATAGTCTACGATTGAAAATAGTGGGACACTTTCGGCTAACCTACCAGCAGTTTTTTAAGCTCGGAATCCATTCTCGATCGTAGCTTACATGAGGCCGTCCAGCTATGCTAGCTTACACTTGCCCATACGAGTCACAGTTTAGGCCACAATTACAGAAACAGGGGCACGAGAGAGAAGGTGGGTAGGTCATTGTAGTTAGAAAAGTAGCCGTACCAGTGGGAGAGGTTCGAGACTTTACTCAAAACTGTAGTATTCTCTATGACAGCGCCGATCACGACCCTCACAGCTAGACATAGGAAATCTACCAAATACTGTCGCCCGGCGCTACAGAGAAAGGTATGGCCCAAAACAGAGTTAAACTGTCAAGGCAACGAATTCGACGTTGCAATTCGCTCTGCTTGCAACTCGGGTGGCCTCGTCAAGATTCTCAGGAAAATGACACGCAAGACGCGGCAGATTTTGGTCTGAGTGACAGTTGTGCTGCGACTGTAGATCGAAGTGAGTCAAAAAGGGGTAAGCCGAGATATTTGAGCGTTCTCAATAGGAAACGTGATCACATCGCCAAAAATGTTTCATCGGGTTGGCATACACTTCAGCAGAGAAGAGCGATAAGGGGAAAACCAGGAGGAAAAGAGACCAGTAAGTAATATCGACGAAGGAAAGGGGGGCTGAAATGGTCGTCAGTCTGATTTAACGTCTATGGACAATTACAAACCAACCTCAAGTATAGAAGACCCTGACATTTGGGCGCAGAGTTACGCTCGCTAATTGCGCCTGATAGGTGAGCTCAGAAACATTCAAAGGCAAACGGGAAATGTGTTCACATGGCTACTGTGGTTAAAGGACGGAGCTCGACGTCAAGAAGCGCTCTGGTAATTATGCGACTACCCGATTAGTGTGCAGCATGTGTAAATTGTCATTCTCAACGCTCTATCTCGCCTTCGGTCTTCTTGAGGGTAGAATGCGCTAGATGCAAGGCAAATATACCAGCAAGTCACCGTCCCTGCGTCCACCATGTTGTTGGGCACGTTGTGGGCATTGTAGTTCGCGATGGTCGGACTGTCAGCTTTACGGCATAATAACATATTAGGTTCCGTCGGATAGATCGACAAACGCTACTTTCATTTGACATTTCGCCATCTTTGCGGCCGTATATTAGAGCTCTCCACAAGCAAGCTGTCGCATCGTGTCTCTCAGATCTACCCGTTGATGGCTCTGCCATTATGACAGGCTTGCAGCGTCTTCATCAGAGAGCCGTTGACGAAGAAAAACGAAGCTACCATCCCGCGGTCCTTTCGGGCGACAATTCACCTCCGATTGAGGCCTCGGAACATCTCCCGAGGGTCACTTGCTGTACCCTGGCTCAACTACGCAATGGCTACGCAATGCTCCCTCGCCAAAAACGACTCGACCCGTCCACACCCGACAGATGTCCCGACTGCGGCGTCTCTCCGCATGACTGTCAGCATATTTTTGCCTGCGGTTCCTGGCCAGGATTCCAACTCACCCCCGCAGACCTTTGGCCCAAGCTAGTCGAGGT